CATCTCCTTGCATTTCTCATCCAAGTCCCAAACTCAAGCAGCATCCAACCTTCCAAGAGCTTCTTTCATACTCTCCAGCACTCCCTAAGGCCTTCCCAAGCTTCTCCCAATCATTTACAAGCCTCAAATCACTATTTTAGTCAGAAGAGAGCATTCTAATGAGAGAAAGTGGAGTTCCCTCAATAACTTTCAATCCAGCCATCATAATCCTCTATAATCTTCAAAAAACTTGTAGAGGGCATCAACAGGAGCAAAAGGAGTCCAAAATCACAAAAACCCACTAGCTAGATTGTAAGATTTTTCTCACTTTTAAGTATAAATCAAATTTAAAACTGCAGAAAATCTATAATGCAAGGTGCCTTCAAACTCCATGCATTGCTAGAGTACATTGCCCTCTAGCTACGTTTCAAATTTTGTTATATTTCATTGAATATTTTGGAAGATATGTGCATTTGAATGTTTAGTTCATTTTTGAACTAAAACTTGAGATCAATCAGAGCCGTCAGATTTTCTCCTCATCGGAATTGGATGGCTCAGGACCAGCCGGACCGAGCACAGCTTCCAGCCAGTACGAGCGCACACTGCTAAGTGGCCCAATCCTGGCTGTTAGATCTTTCTGCGGCCACCATTTGTCGCCGCCATTTTGGCGCCAATCATTGCCAATGATTGACACCGGTGGCTGTTTTGACAAAAATTGGCTAAAAAATAAAAAAAAAGTCCATATCTTCCAAAATTCATAAAAAATCGAGTTTTCCATTAAATTGGACATTCTTGGGCTAGTTAAAAAGATAATTTAAATTATTATCTATTAAAATTAATTTTAATTTATTTTGAGCTTTGAGTAATACAAAATTACCTCGGTGGGTAGAGGGACCCCAGGGTCACATGCATATTTTTGCACATTTTCTTTCCTTACTTTATACACTTTCTCACCTGCAGGTAGAGTGCAGATAATCTGATCTATGGGGATACGGTGCTAGACGTGGGGAAGCCCAATCTTCTAAAAAATTATTTTAAAGTCTTTTTTAAAAATTTCAAACATATATGATTTGGATGTGTCGACTAGAATGCATTGCATATATTAGAAACAAATTTAAATGAATCTAAATTTTAATTATATCAGTATTTAGCATTTTCACACATTATAAGTCAAAGGGGTCACTTAGAACAATCTCTTATCACTCTTGAAAATGTTTCTTATCACTCTTGCATAAAAATGATCAGATTCTTGTATTTAAAATTGACTAGGTGGCTAATTGGCTCTCCAATCTAGGTCGGGGTAAGTCTAGGTTATGCACTGCATTAGTTTTAATTTTAATGCAAAAATATGCACTACATTAGTTCTACACTTATTAATTTTAATTTTAATATAGAAATATGCATGTGACCCCAAGTGCTTTAGCTGCTACTAGGTAACCCAGGCCTACGAAGCTATTAACTATCCCCAAGGAAAGTGAAATAAACTTCACAACCTTGGTGTAAAATAAAGGTATTAATCATTTAGTCTTTAAAATATATTTAAATTAATTCTTAATATAATAATATTTAAACTCTAACATAAAGCTCCTTTAAGCCTTAACAAATTCAAACTTTGATAACTTCAACTAACAACCCAGTCTAGGATCTACCCCACCCACACGACCTTCTATACAAACTTTATATGATTTACTAGGACAACCGACTCTAGATTTAGGCTAGACCGGTGTTTACTTTTCTGTTGTATGCCGAATTTTTTTTTTGAGATTTTGCTGCATGTTGTGGATAAAATTATTTGATGTGTCTATTTACTTTTACTACACTCTGTGGATGATTGATGTGTTTAGTGACTAGATTATTCTTAGGATAGGAACAATCTGAATGTTCACTGAGTTTTCTGTAGGTGGCCACGCTCATGCATGACAATAAAGAGGTGGGCTAAATAAAAAAAAGGCTTAATTATAATGTACTTGTTATAGGTGCTTTAGCTGCTAAGCCCCCAAATAATAAAAAGACCGTGACCCGTGTGTTTACTTTTTTTCTGCTTATATATATAACTGATTGGGAATATTCTTTAATATTTAAATACTTAAGATAACATTGTAGGAGAGTTTATAATTTTTATTCCATATCAAATGTAATTTGTGTAAAATGGTAAGTGTTGTGAACGTGTACATTTGAGTTGGGATACATAGATCCAAAGGTTAGACTCCAAAGAGAAAATGATACCCCTAAGGGGGATAACCCTTTTCCATTTGGAAATCCAAATTTGGATCACCTTTTCATACCCAAACTGGAAAGAGTAACCTTCCCTTAGAGGGAAGAGTTCTATTTTCCATTTGGGTAGCTTGCTATGAAAGATCCAAGGGGCCTGAAGGGAAGAAAGACTGAAGAATTAAAGATAAAGAGTATCCCACTCAAAGTCACTAGAACTTTTATTAAGACTAGAATCCGGATAGTTGTTAGTGGTGCCCGACTACTCAATTTTTTGTAGACCCTAGGTTGTAATAAGCAAGACAATTTATCTATGGACATTTATTTATTAATTTGTTTATATCCGATGTGTTGATGTGATTGCGTATAGAATTATCTATTTTTTTTTAGTTTTTAGCGTTCGTATGTTGCTTTTTATTTTAGCTTGGATACGTAAGGCTGATTTAAATTATTACAGGTGCTTCAGCTACAAAGATAATTTAATGAGCCCAAGAATGTCCAATTTGATGGAAAACTCAATTTTCTATGAATTTTGGAAGATATAGGTTTTTTTTTTGAATTTTTTAGCCAATTTTTGTCAAATCAGCCGCCGACACCAATCATTGGCATTGACTGCCGCTGAAATGGCAGCGACCAATGGTGGCCGCAAAAAGATATGACGATAAGGATTGGGCTACATAGGCACCCGCGGTTTGGATCAGCACGCGCTCAAACTGGCTGGAAGCTATGCTCGGTTCGGCTGGTCCTAAGCCGTCCAATTTTGATAAGGAGAAAATCGAATGGCTGTGATTGATCTCAGGTTTTAGTTCAAAAATAAACTAAACCTTCAAATGCCCATATCTCCCAGAATGCTCAATGAAATGTAATGAAATTTGAAACGTAGCTAGAGGGCAACGTAATCTAGCAATCCTTGGAGTTTTGAAGGCTCAATGCATTTAGATTTTCTTCAGTTTCAAATTTGATTTTTACCTAAAAGTGAGAAAATCTTACAATCTAGCAGTGTGGATTTTTGATATCTTGGCTGCTAGAGTTTGGAATTTGATTGAGAAATGCAAGGAGATGGGCATTAGGTCAAATTCCCTACACTTAACCCATTGCTTTTAGGTTGGATGACTAGGATTTGATCTATGGACTTTTGGATACTTGACATGTGTCCCATAAGCTGCCCAAATCTAGGGGGGGATTGGTGGTGAGTGTGACCTCTCTTAGTCCATGGGAAAGGGGACCACACCTTTTTTCTATTTGGATGAAGCAAGCCAAAGCTTGGATTAATGGGTTGGCTTAAGGCTTCTTGGGAGAGGAAATATGTCACATCACATCAAGTTTGAGCAGGTTTTGGAATGAGGATTGGATTGCTAAGGTGGCATGGCCATCTTAGCTCAAATGAGAGCTTGTATGAAAATTTGACTGGTCAAACCAGTCAATGGGAATGAGGTGGCATCCAAGGGAGTGCATTTGGGTGGTTGAATTTGTGGCAAAGAGTTTGAGGTCAAGGATTTGTAGTTTTGAGCAAATACATGAAATTGGAAAGGGTTTTGACCCCTCAAAATGGGTTGATCAAGTCAAACCTAGGGAGGATTGACTTGAAAGTCTTTGGACATGTCTTGAGTGTCCAATTGAATGATTTTGAGGGGTTGATTGGGTTTGGAATGGATTATAACATTGGATTTGACCATAGGTTGAGTTAAGGGTTAATTTGGTCAACTAGGGTTTGACTTGGTCAATCTGGTCAAACCTTGGGTCGAATTTGGGTCAACAAGTTCAAATAAATGTTTTGAGACCAATGAAAGCGATTCCAAGTATTGGGTAGGTCATTTGGGTTGAAAATGGATTTTTAAATCCATTAAGGACATTTTGGTCAACCATGATTGACTTGGTCAACCAGGTCAAACCAAAGAATAAGTTTGGGTACAATGTGTTCATAAAGTTATTTAGGATCCATTGGAATGAAATTTGGAGTTTGATATGGGTTAGCCATATTGAAATTTAGGAAAAAGATCAAAAATCTCCTTAAAGGATATTTTGGTCATTTTGACCCCTAGTCAAACCTAGGTCAAATTGGGTCTAGAAAAATGTAGGTTGTTAGTTAAAATGTCACGTTGAAGGACATGGTCATGATAAAAAAGTTTTGGAAAGTGCGCAAGGTCAATTTCCACAAGGTGGAGGGTCAAGTGGCACATGCCGTAAATATTTAAAGATTTTGCAGTATTCAGAAATTGATTCAATTTCTGGGATTAGGGACATCAGATTGAGCTCAAACTTGGAAGGACCCTAAAGGTATGCCTTATAAATATGCAATTGATAGACTCTAAATCAGGGGTCAATTGAGTGGATTTTGAAGTGTTTAAAAAATTTATAGGAAAGGCTTTCAGGACCTAGGCCCTTAGCCATGGATTTTGGGTCTGGAGTGATCTAAGATCTAAGTTGATCCTAGGGTCTGGAGATTGGAAGGATCCTAAGATTTAGAGACTAGAAGGAATATAGGGTCTAAGAAATCCTAAGGTCTATGGACTGGAAAGATCATAAGATCTAGAGCCTAGAAGGAACCTAGGGTCCAGGAAAGATCAAAATGACCTCATACAAAAATGAGGTCAACACCGGTTCGGATTCGGGTTCGGATTAACATTTTCGGATCATGTCAAATATAGACACCTAACAACCAATTAACTCGTTTAGCCCTAAGGCCCCTAACACCCCCACATCCTCTTGGACTTCAACGCAAATAGAATGTCATAAGGGACCAAAATGCAAATAACTTTTTCGTAAAATGACGCACTTAGTTCGGATCGTCGATTTGCGCTTCCAATTCCACAAATACCCTCACTTTTATTTTCGATTGAAGAGAGAGAAAGTCCGGAAGGCGAAGGAACAGTGCGCTCGCCCACGATATCCTCCGTTCCTCGCGTAGCAGATTCTCCGATCTCCTCTTGCCCCGCCGCCAGGCGGCGCCGCTTTTGTAGAAGCGCACAAACCAACTGCCTTCATTGAATCCTTGGAACGAAGTTGTGCCTGTCTTATAGAGTGTTATATTCGCCGCCGCCTCCTTCCCGAAGTGCCGTTGCATACATCTCGCACGCGGCTCTCTCGACTGGTACGCCTTGGTTTTCGGGGTCATCAAATCGGATGCCAGGCAGATTTTCGTCGTTCCTGGTAATTTTTTCCGTTATTGCAGCATTCGGGTGCAACTAGGGCGTGCTTGGAGTATGGGTGGTGCTTCCCATGGTGCCATGGAATGCAGCATGTATGAGGGCCTAAAGTCTTCGTGGATTTGGGAAGCTTCGCCATATGGGTGATTTCTCTCATCGATGCAATCTGAGTATTGGAGCTCTATGCTGGATTTTGGTGCGCCGGTTCGCTCCTTTCTTTGCCTCCTTTTTTCATGTTGTTTTGAACTGTTTAATTTCTTTGTTTGAATATGGTTTCCCTCTTAGGAGATTGTTGTCACATGTTCTAGGTGGCAGAGGTTGCTGAATCCTTGTTTTAGGGTTAGGAATTTGTCTCGTTGCTCAGTGTAGAGTGTTTATAAATTAGTTGCATGACTTGAAGTTCTTGCTAATTGCAAACTGCACGTGTCATATCAATTTGTTTGAATCAACTGGACTGTAGGAGTTGTGATTTGCATCTCTGTAGCTTTGTGCCAACCTGACAAACACTTCGCTGTCTGATTTGGTATCTGGGAAAGTCTATCCTTGGCTGAAATTTATGGTTTCAGTCAGGCAAATGTCTGAAGTAATTGGAAAATGGAGGTAAAAGTGATATGGACTATCAACTTTCCCCCTTTCTTTTGCACAAACGTATAACATAATATTTGGATACACATTCTACTTAACCTTACATTTTTTTATACTGCTATATGATTTTTTTTTCAAAGTACTTAATGGGCGAACAATAATGTTTTTGATGAGGACATCGGACGATATCGACGAATCTATCAGCATAGGAATCGTAGATTGTTGGCTACGATTCACATTCTATATTTTTGATGCATTTATGTATTGTAGTTTATTTACTAATTATGATTGTACCATTTCTTTTGAGTTTGTTTGAGTTGTAGCCCAAGGGACATTTGAGTCATTGTTATTTTATTTTCTAAGCCTATATATTGTGGCCTAATCTATTGTAAGAGAATGATGATTATGATGAATGAAATTCCAGTTTTTTTCGTTGACCTCTTTGTGAGTTTTTGAGAAGAGAAACCCGTGGAGAGGGCTTGCATCACCCATCAGCCGCCGGTGGATTTCGGGACTCGCAGTTAGTACTTAGTATTTCCCTCTTCTTCCTTTCTTGGGTACCACCACTAACCACCTAGCCCAAGCCCTTGGTTGCAGGCTTGAAGCCTCCAAACCCTGCCCCTTTCTCTCCCTAACCCGCCACCCTCACCACCTACCTAAGCTGCCGGCCTCCCCTCATCCGCCCGCCGCCTGTTTCCCCAAGCCCCCTCACCGCCGGCCTCCCCTAGCCTCCACTAGCTGCCGGCCCCTCCCTATCATGACCCTTGAATTTTGAATTTCAAAATTCAAATCAATTTTTATTACTTTCCTAATTTATCCTGCTATTAATTTGGAAAGTTACATCATTTGAATTCAAATTATATTTGAATTTCAAAACTTTTCATATTAACCAACTTAAATTAGGAAACCTCTCAATTATATTAAATCTGAAATCAATTTTTGATTTCAGATTTAATGACAATTCCTTATTAAATCGTCCTTGGGCCCATACATCGAACCTAGACACATCCAAGCCCCCCTATGGTCGGCCCCTCTATGGCTCTTCTCTCTCTCCAATTCTCCCTTAATTCACATTAAATATTCCCCTTAATCCCCTCCCAACCGCCGGCCCCATTATAGCCCAAATTGAGATAATTTTGAAATTCAAATTTATCCCTCCCATCTCTCAGTAAAATCTGAATTTAACTTCAGATTTTTTAAACCCCTCCTTCCACCTCACTAGACCTAACCCTAGGCGCTCCCTCCCTTTCCCTTCTCCACCCCAATTCTCCAAACCCTCCCTCCCACTGTTCTCCTTTTCCTTTCCCACCGTCGGTTCTCCTTCAAGGCCACGAAGAATGAAGAAGCTCCTCCTAGCCCATGGATGGTGGATCCCGACGTTGATCTCGGGTTCGCATTTGATAACTAAGGAAGGACGGACATTCCTCGATTTGATCTACCTTCTTCGATTTGAACTGAACGTCGACGACTCCGTGGAAGGCCACATTGACCACATCACCTTCACGTTGGCACCGGCAATTGAGGAGCACCTCCCAATCAGATCGTGGTCAATTGCGGGATGCCCAACGTCCATCCATCGCCTGCAACCTTTCCATCAATGAAGATCTTAGGCTTCTTCTTCCTGGTGGTGATCTCTTTTTTAGTGTGGAGTATCTTCTTCCGCTAATCCCACGAGTGAATGAGTGAGAAGGTCCTCAAGATGAAACCTCTCATTATTAAATTGTGGATTTTGTTATGCTCTCATAAAAATTACTTGTCTTTGGAGTTTGATTGAATTGTCTTGTTAATCTAACGTGCACTACTTTGCCTAAGCAAGTTGAAAACTATGAATTCCTAGAGTTTTTCTTTGTTGCGAACGATAACTTTATATTGGAAAGCTTTCAACAATAGCTCTTCTTAATTTTTCGCTAACTCCTAGTTGTTTCACATCAGCTCATACTTGGCTAACATATAATTCTCCAATATGCGTCTTTACCCATCATTCCTAAGAATTGTTTTCTCATAGTTATATTTGCGTATTGATTATATTGATATAGGGAAGAGAAGGATTGGCTTAGCTTGCTGGATGAGTTTAGTTATAATTTTCTAGAAACCATGTTTGACGTTAATCTCTGGAAGCATATCCTTAGAAGTTGAGGAAAGTTATTGTTTTAATGTTCACGCATTCCTTGGCTTTTTAGCCAATTGGGACCAATGAATGGCATGTTGGTATTAGCAATACTCGTTGCATTTAAACAGGACACCACCTAAAGATGTTATTGGTAGCATCTATTAAATGAGGTCACAATTATGTATTTGTTTTTTGACATCTTGACACTTATCACACCATCTAGTTGAATTTATACCGAGCAAGATGGGGATACATTGTTGTACTTGTTAGTGTATTGGACTTTGGAGCATATGTTTGTTTATTATCAATTGAGAGGGTTTTACATAATCTGGTTGAGTATAGTGGTATGGATTTCATTGATATTAGGTGTTTTTAGCTTAGACACTGATTTCTTACTGAGTGTGATCAGTCCACCATGATGTGTGCTTCATTGTCTTTGATTATGCTGATTTCTATAGGAGAGGTAGTTTATCTAACGAATTTTATAATTTTTCATGAATGAGTTGGATTCATTACTCTTACTAACCTGAAGCACATGCATGGATGTTGGAAATGCTAATATAATTTAAAATTTTGGAATACAAGCCTGAACAGAACATTTTGAGGATAAGGTCTACAAAATATAGTGATAACATCAAAATCTAATCTAGTCTTCCTAGAAATGAGGTTATGATTCTATAGAAACACAATTTCTAGCTGCAATAAAGTCTATGATACATCCATAGTATCATTGACTTATCCAAGAATGCAGTTAAGTTTAATAGGCCATTTTTAGAATGATTTCATTTAATGTGTCAAATCTAATTTTGGTTCATTAGTTTTGTATTGGGGAAGGAGTGTGTTGATTCTTATTTATAAGGATAAAGGTGATGTACAAGAGTGTGCGAATTATAGAGGAATAAAAAATTTGTCATACATTAAAACTATTGGAGAGAGTAATTGAGCATAGGTTATTACGTGACACTAATGCTTCTCAAAATCAAATTGGATTCATGTTGGGTAGGTCTACTATGGAAGCAATACATTCATTGAGAGGTTTGATGGAGAAGTATAGATATAATAAGGAGGATCTACTTATAATATTTTTTTTTGATTTTGAGAAACATATGATAAAGTTCCAAAAGAAATGCTCTGGAGAGTTATAGAAAAGAAAAGAGTTTATAATGCTTATATTCAAGTTGTTAAAGATATGTATGCAGGAGCTATTAGTTGTGTTAAAACACAAGGTGGTTTGACCAAGTATTTTCCCATTTCGGTTGGAGTACATCAAGGGTCATCTTTAAACTTATTTTTTTTTGCTTTAGTCATGGAATTCTTACTAGATATTTGTTAGAGGATGTACCATGGTGTATGTTTTTTGTTGATGATATTATTCTTGTTGTAATACTAGAGAGAGAGTTGAAGGAAAACCTTAGAGTCTAAATATTTTCATTTGAGTAGATCTAAAACCGAATACATGGAGTGTAATTTTAATAGTAATAGATAGGGGCATCAAAATTAGTCAGCGGATCGGGTTCTGACCTGACTCGAATTCGATCAATCCGAACCCAACCCGCTAGCAACCCTAACCCGACTTGATAATCCGTTTTAATTAAACAATATTTTTATTAACATGTTGATGATAGATTTTTAGGTTAATTCATAAAAAAATTAGATGATTATACCAACAAATAAAAGAGTTTTTGGAAAAAAGTATTAAACGAGTTATTTTTTGGTAGAAATTCTGCTAGCTGTTCAACTGCAATTCGGCCCGTTTAGTAAATGGGTCGGAATGCATTACTCGAACCCGACCCATTTATTAGATGGGTCAACTTGAACCTTGATTTTTTGGGTAGGGTTGGCGAGTCGGGTCATTTATCGACACCCCTAGTAATACATCTAGTAAGAGGATTGTGACTTTGGGCGATCAAGCCATTAAAATGAGTACATGTTTTAGATATCTTTGGTCTATAGTTTAAAGTGATGGTGAAATAGATGAAGATATTATTGGTAGAAATCAAGTTGGATGGTTGAAGACTTGAAGTGGAGGAATGCATTCAGTCTATTGTGTGATAGAAAAGAACCCCCCAAATATAAGAGAAAATTTTATAAGATGGTGGTGAGACTTGCAATGCTTTATGGTGCAAAATGTTGGCCATTAAAAGTGAAGCATAAAATTAAAGATGAGGATGCTCAGGAGTGGTTTCTCTTAGAGACAATTCGAAACGAGTATATTCGTGAAAAGGTTGGATTAGCTCCAATGGCGAATAAGATTAGAGAGAGTCACCTTGGATGGTTTGATCATATAAAACATGAGACTTCCGATGACCGGTTAGGAGATTAGATGTATTAGATATAGTCTATGTTAAGAAATGTAGAGGTAGACCTAAAAAAACTTGTTTAGAAAGTATTAGAAATGACTTTTTTTTATTAGATTTAATTGAGAATTTGACTCTTAATAGGACACAATGGAGAAAAAAGATTCATGTAGGGATAAAGGCTTGATGTTGTTGTTTTTTAGTTGGGGAGCTTCATGCACCTGGTACACCTAGTCCAGGAAGGAAACAATGGAAGATCAACTTTCAAGAACATGTCTGTGCAGCTGGTGAAAGTTTGGTCAGTTGGTCTGATATTGTTATTTTTAAACTGTTCCTACGAACATAAACTAATATTTTTTGTTCATAGATATTGTAACGGGAAAAAAAAAAAAACTAAGTGGACTTTTTTGAAGCCATTATTAGCTGAAGTTTAATTATTTTCTTCGAAGGAAATTTATACCTTTAATGCATCTTTTAATCTCATGAAAATATTCTTAAATATTTCATTATTTCATATTTTGCCGGAAGCTAGCACGGAATGATGCATAGTTTGTCTTTTAACTAATTAGTTACATTGTGCGGATTTAACTCTGTTTTATTGACCAGTGATTTCACCAAAGTTAGTCCTTATTTCATCATTTTTTTTATGATTTTCATAGTTAAAATATTTTTTTTTTCCTTTGGAGTTTCTGCCATCTTAAAAGCATTGTCTTTGGTCAGTCTACTCAACTTTTCCTCTGTGTTTCTTCTTGTATTTTTAAGGTACATATCAGCCATAAGGTATGTTTCTCTCAATTGCATGTTTGTCGTGCTTTCCTACAGGTATCTTTTGAAGTATGGCACTCAGGAAGCACAAAGCTTCTGGTGATCCATCATCTGCTGCCTTGGCACCTCTGAATTTCGTAAGAAAGGTGACTGAAAAGGGGAATTCTGTTGAGGCAGATATGAAATCATGTGTTGCTGTGGAATCTGATGTAGATATAGACCTAAGGGAAGTGTATTTCTTAATCATGCATTTTCTATCAGCAAGTCCATGCAAGAGGACTTATGGGCAGTTTTGGAATGAGCTTTTGGAGCATCAACTTCTTCCACGAAGATACCATGCTTGGTATTCTAGGAACGGTGTACGAAGCGGGGATGAAGATGATGATGGAAAGTCACTTCCGTTAAGTTACATGAACTTGGTTGAGAGGTATACCCTTGAAGGACCATCTTTACCCCATATTTGCTCCATTTTTATGTTTTCATTTCCTTGCTATTTGGAATTCGTAACTATTTGGAATTCGTTATGCTTTTGTGTCTGGCTAGAGCTAGCCTTGTTGTTCATTTGTAAAAATAAAATCAGTATACCAGACTGTATCTCCTTGTATAGTACATGAATATTCTTGAGGTTTTATGCTTTTTTTTATCCTATTACTTTACTGGATGTAGAGATGCTATGGTATTCTGGGTTTTTTCTTGCCGTACTATACTACTGCATTTAGTTAGGTTTGGATTGTCTATTATAATATTGAAAACAATTGTCTTAATTCTATTATCAAAATATCAATCCTGCTTCTGGTAACTTTAATATCGTTGAAAGCATGGATGTTAGATATGCAGCATTACCGCTCAATGCACTTAGCGCCAGGTCCAGACAAGTGGTTGTCAAGTTGACAATATTTTGTTAAATTATTTCTCATCCGTTTGGAACTTTCTGCAATTTCTGTTTTGGCAAGCCGCATCTCTAATACCTGATTTTGGCTTGCAAACAATGATGGCAGTCCTTTTAATAAAGGAAATTTGAACAAATCATTAATAAAAAATATTGGGGCTTACTCTACTTTGCTTATTTGCTCATTCATAATCTGGCCTTTTATCTTAGAAAGGAGAAGAAGTATGGTGTGATGCATGCAATCTTGATCCAAATTAAAGGTTCAACTTCTGCTGAGAGGTTCACATGTTCTCTTCCTTATACTTGACCCATCTCCCAACAACCTCTTCCTACCCTGCAGTATCTATTCATTTTTCCTATGATTCACAGACACGGACACGAGACACGTTAGTTATTGAAAATATAGGACACGGACACGGTTTTATAGTTTTTTTATTTAAAAAATAGTGTATAAAAATTAAATAAGTATAATTTTATAAAATAATTTGAAAATAATAAGTCATTTAATTACAAATTGTGCTTAAAATGATTAGTATTAGGATGTCGAGAGTCAGACGTTGATGCTGTTCATCAGTCACTGAGAGAGGAGATGAAAATACCTTCACTGCCAAAAAGAAATGAAAATGAGAATATTCGATGATTGGGTTATTAAGTGCGGACATTGATTTGGTGTTGTGGATAGGAAATAAGAAATTTAGTTTAAATCCCGCCAAATACAATAAATTATATTTAAAAAAATTCATGAAATATTTAAGATATGCATGTCGGACACGCGTGTCCAATTTGTATTTAATATTTTTCAATCGGACACGATTTCGGCGTGTACGACACGTGGGAGGAGTGTCGGACGAGTGTCGTATCGGATACGGTGTCAGACACTGCACGCCTCTTTGAGGAGAAGTGTTGATGCATCATAGCATTTTTCTCTTATCCATGTTGCAGAAGGTAAATGCTAAACAATTATTATTCATTTCTTCTAAGCCAGCTTAAAACACCAATTGATTATAGTGACACAAATGCAAAATTTAACGAAGGATCTCTTACAAAAATGAGAAGGTTACAAACTTTCTCAGGCAAAAAAAGCCAAAATTGGCCGGCCATGTGTCATTAATTTGGAATGAGCCCTCAGGCATATAAGACCCAACAAGAATGAAATAACCGACTTTAGCTAGGTCAAGTTGTTCAATTTGGCTCATGGTCTATTTGAGACGGCTGTATATTTTTATAAATGTGATTGTAAAGCTGCTGTGGAGAAAACAACTCTTTTGAAAGCTGTTGTAAAAATCAGCTTCATTGCACACAAATTTATTTAAAATAGCTAAAAAGTAATAAACAAATAAAAATTGCAGTTGCGGTCTGAAAACCAAAGCAATAAGAAAGTTATCCCAAATGAAGCGTCAATTATATAAAAGATGAGTTTGTTTATTTTCAGTTGAAAGATTTTTTGGTACTAATATTCACATATAGGTTCTTGTTTCTTTTGTTTGCTTTATCAGGTTTGCGAGACCTTTTATTTTCTTTATATGAATGAAGAAACCTCCGATGAAGCTTAAACTTTGATGGTAAAAGCGGAGGCAAGCTGACTTGAATACAAGATGTGTATTACTTCTTTGTGACAAATCAGGATTTGCCTAGACTTATACAACCCTACCCATTTTGGTGGTGAATAAAGCTTGATATGAATTTGCCAATTATTAGACTTATCCAACCCTACCCATGTTGGTGGTGAAGAAAGCTTGATATGGGAATAACATCTCCCATTGATTATAGAGGTGAATCTCTCTAAGCCAAAGCTTAGGAATGCATTAGGAATACTTTACAAAGTCTTCTAAGATTTTGATGATGAACAAAACTATCACTAACGATTTCAAGTACAGCCAATCCCTTACAAATATTGTAAATATGTACGAGTAAAACATCAAAACTAAATTAAGAGAGAAGTTGTTACACCAATAGCACTTAAGAAGACTTGATGAGGATGAACATTTGTTTCTATTTGAGTTGAAACCTTTTATGTTCAATTGCTTCAATTAGTTTTTGATTGAAAATGTGAGTGGAATGATCAATCTTCAAGCTATGGAGATTAAGGGGTATATCTAAGAGTAAGTAGGAGATCAAGAGCTACTCAAAAGATTATTCCCAAATGGCTATTTTTGGCTTAAACCGATTTCTCAAAATGCTAAAAGTTCTAACCAGATTTTCCAATTCTAATAGTTTTTAGACCATGAACTATTTTTATTTTTTGTCTATAAATAAACTAGTATATTTGATGAACATCATGATACTTGTTCATATAAAATTCATTTATGTTCATTTATTTAGATAATTGAACAACCTTGAAAAAAAATTAAAAGCCTGAAATATCAATAAACAAGCTTGAATAATGATGCGCTCGTTATTTTTTATTTATGAGCATGATCATATGTTATTTTGCAAGTAACTCTTAAAGAGTTTGATAAAATGCTCATTTAATAATGACTTCATTTCTTATTTGATCATATATTTTGTGGTTTATTGACAATTTTGTTATATCTTATGTACTTTAAAACTTATGTGTATTGTTAAAGATATAATTGTAATAAAAATATCAAACAAATAGTTTGATAAATAGATTAAAATCATCTATTTGTAAAGATTTGAACTTCACCAAATAACATAAATAATACTTAGTGAATTATATCAACTTTGATTAAAACTTATAACTTCATTTATGCATTACTATTAGGCTATATATTTAAATTATTAGTTTTAATTATATTGTTAGGCTCTATTAAAATGAATAGAAAAGCTTGAACATAATGTTAAAATTCAGTTAATGTTCAACTCAGCTTGAACTTGACAATAGAATAAATGAATGAGCTTGAACAATGCTTAGGTCGATTTTATTCATTTACAATCCTAATTTTAAGAGGATTTTTAAATTTTGTGGGAATCCATAAAGATTTCTATGAAAGCTTATAAATCCCACAAAAATGGTTTGTAGAGGCCCGTTTAAGTATAGGGTAAATATAATAATGTTTGGGTAATTATATAACGATTTATAATGTAATAAACTTTCTTGTTAACTACTTGATGATTAAACTTATAAATAATTTCTTTACTTGGTGAAAATAGTTGTTTAATCATAAATAATGTTTAGCCAATTTGTAGTCATCATCTTGAAGACTTATAGGGTAAACCATAAACTCAATTAAAACACTTCACATATACACACTAAGCTGTTTCTCTTAGAATCGTCAGTTGCACACGTGTCTTCTTGAATCTTTTATCTCACGCTCTATTTCAAGTTGTAAAGGCTCCAAGCAAGCTTATTAGTGTGCAATGCCATCATTACCATGGGTTAAATGACACCATATAAGATTTGTTATTGTTAAATCACTAAGCTAATCATATTTATATGATAGATATTGAGGCTCATGGGTCAATACTATTTATTTCTTAGGTTGTGTTTGGAGTTTTGGTTTGCACTTCACTTCACTTTCTTGCCTGCCTTCTGTAGAAAAGCCATGTTCCCAGCTTTGCCGTAGCTGACTGTATCAGGGACATGCTATAGAATCAAAACACTCACTGCCATTCCAAGAAATGGCTTATTGCTCTTGTGACTGGATTGTTTACTATTTCCTTTTATTAAATGACAGGTACCCCCATGTTGAAAAAAATCACTTGGTAAAACTTCTTAAGCAACTGATTCTTAACTGCTCCCCTCAAGTACATGGTGTTGCATTAGGAAACACTCCAAATGCAGCTGATGTTCCAACTCTACTTGGAGCTGGCTCCTTCTCCCTTCTATCATGTATGCCTTCACCTTTTGGTTGTAATATTAGAGCATTTTCATTATGTTTCCTAGTTCTCAATATCTTTGAATTAATATGCATCACTTTTCATTCATCATGTAGTGTTAACTTTTCACTTTTCTAAACTACGCTCTTGCCAACATGCTGTGTTTTCAGCTGATCGAGATAAAGATGATAAAACAACTGGCCAATTGCCTGGTTATCTTCGTTGGCCACACATGCAGGCTGATCAGGTTCGTGGATTGAGTTTGAGGGAGATTGGTGGTGGTTTTACTAAACACCATCGTGCTCCATCTATTCGTGCTGCATGTTATGCCATTGCTAAGCCATCCACTATGGTACAAAAGATGCAATTTACAATAAAGTTGAGGGGGCATCAGAATGCTGTCTATTGTGGTATAATTAGTATATTTTTCATAAAGAACCTACATTCTATATCTAGTAATTGAAAATATCTAGTAATTCTTTAATAATGAGAAGACAACTCTTTTTACGTCTCATAGCATGTGCATGTGAGAAGGAAAACCAATTCATCCTTTTTTTAACCTATTTTCTTAGAACAAGTAAGTGGGAATGCTGCTTCGACGTAAGACGAATTAAACTACTTGACTGAAACAAGTTAGTGTCTCCTTTGGCTGGTCCTTGGATCTAAATTAGTTTCTTAGGTGAAGCACAGATTTATCTTGTGGCACTTTGACCAGTTGTTAATTTGTTCATTAGGTAAAGTCAAAAGCTTAATAATCCTTGAAACAGTTGTACATGACTAAAATTTGTTTCCATTGTTTCTTTGGTGAGAGAAAAAACCAACTTGGATGTTCATGCTTGTACTGATTGGCTCATGTCTAATTTGTCCTCAGTTTATATACTAAAGTGAGGAATATTTTCAATCATACTTTTTGATAATTATTACCTGGATATACTGCTTTAGTGTCTAAACATTCTTTTGTTTTCACAAAGAGAACAACTCTTGTGATCTAGAAGCCTCACTGAATGTAATGGTGATCAAAGTGGTCCATTCTTGTGGTCATGGGCCTGAATGAGGGTAATCTTTATCTAGCAGCATCCTAGTTCGAGTGTTGACTTTGAAGAATGTTTGTTGGCGATGCCTAGGGCTTAGATTTTACTCCCATATTCCTGTGAGCGAGTTTAACTCCTTGTTTTGTAATGCTTTTCAGCAAATTTTCATTTCAAAATCTTGACAGTTCGGTGTTTTGGTATGTATTAGAAATGTGTCATGATAGGTGCTATACTGCATATGCACCTTCTCTATGGCTCATGACCTTGGACTGCCCATATGCTGAGTAGCTGGTGAAAGTCGAGTAATAATAACTTTTATTTCACACAGGATTCATTTGGGGTGATTGTAACTTTTTGTAAGTTGAGTGTTTATAAATATTTTATTTTTTGAATAAGTCAGATAATAGCTTTCTAGAGCTATCATACTATAGTAGATCGCGTTGTAAAAGGCAGCTTACTATCACAAATTTTTTTTATAAAGTAGCAAGAAAATAATAGCTAAATGGAAGTATAACAGCGATCTAAAAGGCAAAGATGTGAACTAGTTATCCCAAATAGGCCCTTAATGACAAAACACATGATGCATGTAAATTTATAATTAGAATTTTCTAATGTAACTAGAAAGATGTGCTATATTTGGATCATGTGAGGTCCTTATGTGATGTGGACATCGATCAGAGGTTCAAGCATGTGTATCGCCGGAGACAGCGCAGATCGACGGCTACTATTCAGAGTCTTTACTTTTGATGTATCTTATGTTTTATTTAGTTGGCATTTTCATTTCCCAGTTTACCCCTATGGAGAGTATTGTCTTATTGTAGCCCAAAGGGCATTTGATTACTTTTATTTCTTTATGTTGGGAGACCTATATATAGTGGTCTCATGCTATGTAAAAGACTAATGAATATTTGAATGAAAAATTTGTGTTTGTTTCTACTTCTTCTTGCATGAGCGCTTGAGAAGGGAGAGAGCTCAAGGGGAGCAAATCGCAAGGCCCACCAGTCTTTGGAAGAGTCAACGACTCGTGGTTAATTCTTCTATCATCGCGTTCGTAGTTTCCTCCATTTTCTTCCCCTCCACTTTAAGAAACACACCCCCCCCCTTTGCCGCCGCCCCTTGGGAACCCGCCGCCGACCGCCACCACAACCCCGACCGGCCACCTTGCCGACAACTTCCCCTCACCGTCCAACCCCTTCCCTACACAATTTTCAAATTTGAAATTTCAAATTCTTTCCTAATTTGGAACTCCAATGTGCAAAAGTCTTATTGAGGGAATTTAATTTCAATTTGATTTAAATTGGAGTTATGAAACATATTGCCACGTCATCATCCCAAATTAGAAACCTCTTCCACTAATCCCTTATTCCTCCTCTAAGCATGCCGCCTGCCCCTCCCATTGAGATTCCCCATTAATTGCTTGATTAATGCCTTGACCGTTTTGAAATCATACTTTGATTTCAGAAATTTTCTCTCATAAATTACTTAAAACTAAAATTAATTTTCAGTTTTAAGATTTTAAACCCCCTCCTTTCCTCTAAGCTTGCCGCCGGCCACCTCCTTGATGGGCTCCATTACTTGCCCATTAACTCCCATTAATTACATTTAAAATTTGAAATTCGTTTCAAATAATTCCCTCCAAATTTACTAAAACCTGAGATTAATTTCAGATTCTAGTAAACCTCTTGCTACAATCATCCCACCTATTTTCCCCTAACCCTAGCCTTCCCCCTCTTGCACCCGCCGACTTCCCACCCTCTCTCCTTGAGATTCCCGCCGGCCTCATCTCCTCCTCTCCCACCTTATCAACTACAAGTGTTCTCTCTCTCCACACCACGATCTTCCTCTCTTCTCGGGAAAGATTCTCCTACGTCAAGCATGCATGGCGGATCCCGAGTTTGAGTGGGGATTAGTATTCAACGACGATAGAAACCTTAATATCCTACGATCCCCCTTCTTTGACGTGGGATTCGAAGACGACGCTACCGTTGAAGATTATTTGGATCGAGTGGTTCCTACCCTTGCTAGCGTCATCGACTGCCAACGTCCAAGCTGCAATTGCAGCATCGACAGTCGAGCATTCACGCCATCCTCGTCACCGTCAACCTCTCCGTGGATCAAGGCCATTGGTGTTGCTACCGTCTTAGTGGCATCGTTGAGTTTGCTAAAGACCTTCTCCCGCTAAGCCCTACTTGAGTGTGAGTGAGCAAGGTAACTCGTTGTGAACTTTTTAGACATTAGCTGTGGGATTCTATTATTTTCCGCATTTGCTTTATTGTGATACTTTTGGAGATCTATCATTAATTGTGTCTAAACAACTAGTTTGTAATTACTTATCATAACATTTTGACAACGGAAAATTCTTGAACCTTAACCTACGATACTCTAATCTTATACTGGTATACTTTGTGATTCTTAATGAATTTCATGTGCAATTCTTGAACGTATCACATCATTATGATTTCTAGATTAAAAAAAAAAACTACTAATAAGTTAAACGCTTTCTTTAAATACAAATAATAAATATGAGAATTAAAACCCATTTATAATGTAATGATCAAATTAATTATGAATGAAATAATTAGTAATTCAAACCATGCAACTCGATGAGTAATTATAATTCAATAATCATAAATAAATCAGCTGTTATCTTAAATTTGAACAAAATCAAGAGTAACAGCAAACCAATAACATATTATGTAGATGAAATATGATCAATGATAGAAATCACCTAGTTATGAAATCCATGTCTTATGTCGGTGTAAGGAGATGACTTTTTATGAATGTTGACCTTCATGCTATACCCAAAGGAATAAGAGAGAGAAGAAAGCAAAATAGAAATACACAACATACCTCTGCCGCCTGGATCTCGCGAATCCTGCCGAAGATCCGCCGAGATACTGTACATCAGCGCCGAATCAGTCGCTTCTCCCGCTATTCCTGCTGAAATTCGGCTCTCGATCGCTGCCCCATTCGCGTCGTTAAATACCGACCCAAACGAGGCTTTCGTTCACAGCTCGGCTCTCTCCCATTCGCAGATCCCACGACCACAAGCTCCTCTCTTCCTCCCGCTCGCTCTCCCTCTCTCATCCCTGTTCGTCTGTCAAAACCAACCGAGCCCAAGCAGACGATCAATTCCGACCTCCATTCCGCCTCCAGTTAGCCGACCCGACTCCAAGCTGCAACCCTTCGACCTCCTTCTCCCGAGCTCATCCAACCGAGCTCTCGGGCTTTCTCCGAGAGAGAGAGAGAGAGAGAGAGAGAGAGAGAGAGAGAGAGAGAGAGAGGACAAATTCAAATAAACTCTAGCTCACAAAGAGCCAAATGCCTAGTCGAAAATATTACTAGGATCCATTCTCAAACAATCTCTTGTCAGTAAGGACGTGGTACGTGTCCTCTAACCGGCAGTTTCGCCGCCAAATGGCACTGCAGGTAAACGGTTATGGCCCGGGGCCCTCTGAACCGAGTGGTTTTGCCGCCAAATGGCACCACAGATAGCGGTTATGGCCAGAGCCAATACGCTCCTTAATGGCGTTAAATCCTTGAGATATGAATCAATAGGATATGATTGATAGGGCACAAAGCCCTCTGTTAGCTAAGGTGGATTTAAATTTGTCCCCTTAGACAAATATTCATCCTAGGTCTACAAGGTACTCTTGGAAGAAGCAACCCATGGTTGCCGACAAGGATCCTTCTGTCAGGTTGGGTCGACTACCTTCTCTGACTAAGTAGACCAGGGACCATGATGGCCCGGGACGACGGAACCATGGGATCTTGATCGGGTCCATCATCCATTCCCCCACTATCCGCTTTAAGTGCTAGATGGTGAAATTTCTATTTTTAAATATAAAATTTTCCCAAATATCCCAATCCAAATCTTCCAAACCCAACTCTTCAATTTCCAACCATTTTCCAACATCCGAAACCTATGCTGCTACTATATGCCAGATACACGTATTCTCTATACGTATCTAATTGACGACTAGCCTTAATCGAAAGTTCTCTCTCGTGATCGGGAGGGGTAATTAACTATAGGGGCTTGCGCCTATAGGAAACCAGAACTCAGATCATAAAGTCCTCGCAAAATGAGGGCGAAATCTCTGGGTAGTGTCTTATCTACAAACCCATATGCCTTCCAAAATTTTCCTCGGAACTTAGTTCGTTAAAACTCCCTCGCCGAATATAAAAAAGAAATCACGCGGCGGGGAGGCCGGGGCCGAATTTTCGGAGCCCACAATGAAATATGATAGTTGCACTTATATCACCCTTGAAAGAATCACACCTAATTAGCACACAAAAGATTGAAATTGGGAGGAATTTTTTATTCAATTTAATTTCTATTTACGATCCTTTGAACATTTATTTCTAAACTGATCATCCTT